ATTTGTATTGTATAATAATTTTTTGAACTGTCACCAACAATGATCCTGCAAATAATACTTTTATTGGAAATACAATAACAAAATAATATATACATATATTTTTTACTATTTTGGTTCCTGCCTTTGTTACTGTTGTTAAAATAATTCCTATCATTAGGAATCATTAACATATGATTTTATCATCATCAGTATTACTTTTATTAGTAGTTGTAATGAACTAGTATCAACAGTGATATTTATAGCATTACCAATAGCAGGTTAGTTCGATGATATCATTATATTTTTTCTAATTATAATCCTCAGTGTTATAAATGGTATTATTATTATCACTGTTTTTACCATTATTAACCTTTTGACAGCTGAGTAGTTTCTTATGGAACGAACAAATGAAAGTGCTAATCTGAACCTTACTACATCGTGTCTTGTTGGGATGATAATACATATGTAGATTTTCTTTTTACAAAATATGTGAAAAAGTATAAGTATATTTTATAAAACATACATATATATATATTGTTTTGTTTATGTCTATTCATGCATCCCAAAAACAACTATAATTGGCTACAGTTTACTAAAATAATTTCCTGAAGTATGACGATGTCTGAAAACCAACTTCTCATTTGCAAGAATTCATTATTTTATCATACAAGAAGATGCATTGTGAGTATGCATATTCTGCTAATATTCAGTTTGATAGATAAGTATGTATTCATCTAAAAAAAAACTCGCAACACTTTGTGAACATTACAATATTTTTATTATCATCATTATTACTATCAGGATTATGATTATTATCATCAGTATTATGATTGTTATCATGATTATCATTATAATAATTATTTTTTTATTATTATCATTATCATCATCATTATTATCATTATTATAATTATAGCTATTATCATAATAATGATTATTATTGCTGTTATTTTCATTATTATTTTATAATAATAATAATTATAATAATAATAATTATTATTATTATTGTTATTATTATCATTATTATTACTATTATTATCATAATCATCATTTTATCATCATTATCTTTATTTCCTTTCCCTAGAATTCCTGTTTTTCTTCTTTTCCTTTTTTGTAATTTTCGACGTTATACAAAGGAGAGAGACTAATATAACAGCACCTCTTTGGCAGAACAGACTGGTGGTCATAAAGACCCACTGACCAGGAACACACAAAAGTTTTTCCAAGGCGCCTAACGCGTCATGAATAATAGTGTAGAGTGCGGCCATTGTTACCTAAGGTGGTCAGAGGGTTAATGTTATCATTGTTGTTATTGTTCTAGTTATTGTTATTGTACGGCCATGTTTGTGATTGTAATTATTATCACTACAGCTAGATCAGAAATACAGATTGACATGCTTAATAATATTTGCTGTTTACAGCAGGAATGCACACACACACACACATATATATTTACACACACAGACACACATACACACACACACACACACACACACACACACACACACACACACACACACACACACACACACACACACATATATATATATATATATATATATATATATATATATATTTGTATCAATACATATGTATGTATCTATCTATCTATCTATCTATCTATATATATATACATATATACATATATGTGCATACAGACAATACAGGTATACAGACGCAAAAACACTTAAAGACAAACACAACTAGAGACCGAGAAAACGAAAACAGAGAAAAACTAAGAAGTGAAACAGAGAGGGAGAAGAAGATAAGCATCCCCCCACCCCCCCACCCCCACCCCTTCACACACCGGCGTGAAACAGAAGCAGAAAAAGGGGAATAAACAGAAGCCCTGAAGAATTTAGCTGAATGGTGTCGTCGGTCGGCCTCAGATATTTCAAAATTAGGAAAGTTTTCCCATTTCCAGGCGAGAGAGAACGAGAGAGAGAGCTGGAAGGAGAGAGAGAGAGAGAGCTGGAAGGAGAGAGCGAGAAAGAGGGGAAGGAGAGAACGAGAGAGAGAGCTGGAAGGAGAGAGAGAGAGAGAGCTGGAAGGAGAGAGAGAGAGAGAGCTGGAAGGAGAGAGCGAGAAAGAGGGGGAAGGAGAGAACGAGAGAGAGGTGGAAGGAGAGAACGAGAGAGAGAGGTGGAAGGAGAGAGAGAGAGCGAGAAAGAGGGGAAGGAGAGAACGAGAGAGAGAGGTGGAAGGAGAGAGAGAGAGAGAGAGGGGAAGGAGAGAGAGAGAGAGAGAGAGGGGGGAAGGAGAGAGAGAGAGAGAGAGGTGGAAGGAGAGAGAGAGAGAGGGGAAGGAGAGAGAGAGAGAGAGGGGGAAGGATGAGAACGAGAGAGAGCTGGAAGAAGAGAGAGAGAGAGGGGGGGAAGGAGAGAACGAGAGAGAGCTGGAAGGAGACAGAGAGAGGGGGGGGGGGGAGGAGAGAGCGAGAAAGAGGGGGGAAGGAGAGAACGAGAGAGAGCTGGAAGGAGAGAGAGAGAGAGAGGGGGAAGGAGAGAACGAGAGAGAGCTGGAA